AGAGAGGGCATCTGCCCCTCGCCCGCCGCTGCGCGGCCCCGTTACCCACAGGGCCCCGCTCGGTAGCGCGGCGCCTCGGCCACTTCCGGCGCGGCCATTTTGTTTTTCACCGCTCGCCAAGGGTACCAGCGTCCTGCCGGCCGCAGGGTCGTACGCCGCTTGTCAGCATGTTCCCTGTGGCTAGGGCTGCTCTGAACCGCACCGGTAAGCGAGGAGGCGGCTCTTTGGAGAATAGAAGTGCTGGGGGTGTTTCTCGGGAGTAGGTGGTTTCGTCAGGGGGTCTCCCCGCGGTGAGGTGCCTTCCCTGTGAGGACTGTCCCTGAACAGTCGTGAGGGCAGCTGAGAGGCTGCGGGCGGCTCTCTCGTCGTCCTTTGCTGTTTTCTTCTATCTTTTTTTTTTTTTTTCCTGCCTTTTTTATTTCCTAGTTGCTTTTGCTTGAGCTGACCTTGGGTTCCGTTCCTCGGTGCTTTTCATCCTTGATAGTAACTAAAGGCACATCCAGGTCTTGTAACCTGAGGTGGCAAGGTGTAGTCAGTGACCAGCCTTCAAACTCAAGAGTGAAGTTACCTTCTCAGTGATAGACTCCCCAGTGCTTAACCCGGTCCTCTCAAATCTGATCCTGGTTCGTGATGTGCTTACTCTGAGGTGCATGCACCTAAAATAAACGTGCTTAGCAGTGTTTCTCTTGGTAGCTATTCAAGCTTCTTTTTTCTCTTAAAACAAACCCCCACTAGTGCAGCCTCAGAACATGCTAGGGGTGTAGTAGCATTGTGGGTATTGCCATCATCTTTTCTAGTCATGTTTGGGTAAATGTGAACCGTTGACCTGAAACTAAAAGATTATATTTTGTAATGTCTATCTTTATGTACAGATCGCTGTCTCATTAAACACTTTGTTTACAACTACTAAACAATTGCTGTGTTTTGAAGCTGGTGGTTTGATTCTTCAGCCTGTTTTCTCCTTAATAAGTGTACCTTTTATAGCATATATTTATAAAGTACATCATACATCCTGTCATCTGAAAATATCCTCCTGTATTTCATTCTCTATTATTTACCTCTTGTGAAGTCCCACAGTTATTTCCCCTTCCTTCTTCATCTCCCTCCCCTTCCTTCAAAAATCTTGAAGGAATGAGAAAGGTGTTACTGTCTTTGATCCCTTAATTTGATGGTGAGCTTCATCCCGAAAATGCTTGTTAGGTACGCATACTGACAATATAGATATTTACATACAGAAATCTGAAACTTTTAAGTACTAAACAAAATGTTTTATTAGAGAAATAATAATACTTTAAAGTGTACTTACTGAACAAAATATTTTATTAGAGAAATAGTAATAAAGTGTACTTGAGGGCTCAAAGAAAACATATTAATGAAAAAGGTAACTTGATGATTTTCTTACTGGAATTAAACTTCAGGAGTAACTTTCTAGAGAGAAATTGGAAGAGCTGAAACAAAATGCCAGACTCTCTGTATATCCTATGTTTTGGAATCATTCCAGGGCTCTAAGTCCAAAAGATCCAAATTTTTCAGCTTTTCGTAAAGTCTTTTACTGCTTATGCTTGTTTCTCTGTTGGTGGGAGATGAGGACTGTGAATGGTTTGAATGTGTATTTTAGTTGATTTCTGTACTTCTAATGCTCTTTAACATTCATTAGCTCGTAGCATTCAGCATACTGCAGTAAGACAAGCTCATCGCAAACATGAGCCTAACTTCCATGATAAATACGGAAACCTGGTACTCCTTGGTGGAGCCGCAGCTTTTACTGCTGTCTGGGGATATGTAAGTCATCCTTTTTTTTCACCACTCTGTTGTGACTGTAACTGTAAACTTGGAAGCTATTAAGTTTCACAAGGGCTCACTGGTTTGAAATAACGTACGTGGTCAGAATTTAAGAGCTTTTCATATAAGGGAAATAGTAATGTGATAGAGATGAAAGTTTTGTTAGTTCATATCTTGATTTTTGAGTTGTTACACAAATTTCCATGTGAGTCCGTTGCTTGATTTTGAAATGTAGTAGAAACCCAAGTGTTCTCTATTTTACTTGGGATTTCTAAGCTATACAGGTAGAGGTTTTAGCAGAAGAATTTATAGATGAAAATAACAGTGTGGTGATGGGGTTTTACATTCCAGATTCTTTGTTCTAAAGCTAGATATTCTGAAATAGAATACAGAAGTATTTAAATATTATTCAATATAAATATATTCCACTTGCTTCATCAGAAGATGACTGAGATGTCACGTTCTAATACAAGAAATCTAAACTGAAAGCAATAGAAATGGCCCTGTATTGGAAGGTTTCTTTGATTTCAGAGTTAATAATTTTGATTTTTATCCCCCTACAGGTGTTTACACAAGCTGGAATTGAGTGGGGCTTGTCACCTGTTGGCAGAATCGCTCCAAAAGAATGGAGGGAGTAACGGCCTTTGCTTATAATAAACTGGTCTAAACTTTCACTGAAAAAATCATCATTTAATGGCATTTGTTCCCCGATTACCACTTGTACAGTGGCATTCCTGGTCTAATAAATATACCTAGAAACCTGTCTGGCTCTTCTAGGCTTCTTGTGTGCTGTGTGTCGGCTGAAGCGTAAGAAAGTGTAAAAACTCAAAGTAATTAAATCCTGTTGTAGGTAGCTCCAGTTGTTCGTCTACGGTTCCAAATCATGTCATCGTCCGTTTAGCCAGATATGTGAGCTTAAATGAACCTCATGTGCATTCCCAGTCACCTACGCCTGACTTATGCTGCACATCTAATGACAAAGTCGATGTTTTCTGTTGAGATCCCCTTTTTTTTTTCCACAGTATTTTTACACCTTGAATCACTTTGCAAATAAGTTGCTCCTCCCTGCGGCCTTTGAGAGTCACGAACAGCTTAAATCAGTTTTCGAGCCGGAGACGCCTCCCCCGGCGCCGGCGCTGTCCCAACGCGGCCCTTCACTGATGCTGAGAAAAATAGCATTTTTTTTCTGATGAATTTGCGTCTCATCGAATCGCCGTCACGTGTCCTGCGACGCCGCCCCCGCTCGTGTCACGTGAGCGGGCGGGGACGCGCGCCCTCCGGTCACGTGACGGCGCGCTCCCGGCGGGGCGGGGCGGGCAGGGGCCGGGCCGCCCCACTGGC